CTGAACCACCTCAACTCTTTTCTGCAGTTTCCTTGGACAGTTTTTTACAAGTTTTGATCTGAACTGCTTTTGCTGCTTTGAAGAGGCTGGATATGATCTGACTTAGGGAGGAAGGGGGAGCCACAGCCACAAGGATAATACACTGGAAGTACCGTGCTGTGAGTGGTGTCTGCGCTGCGGAGGTACGGACAAGGGCCCGAACAAAAGTTAGCAAAGTAGCCCTTAGGCTCGTGAACCCATTTCCAGCCAAGGTCCTGTCGGAAGTCAATATACAGAGGGCGCACGCAGCAGTTCTCCTCCAGGTTCCTGAAACACAGCATTGAAATACAGTGAAGCTAAAGAGGGAACTTGTACGCGAGTGCGTGATGCAGTTTCCTGAGTAGAGGGACTAGCAGGACCAGCAGTGCCCAGGGGGACGTGGTGTTTGCCTGCCAAGTGCAGAGGAGCAGCAAGGGTGAGCTGTGGCGGGCAGCTCAGCAGCCTGGCACTGTTCCTGCCTGCTGGCAGGCAGCTTGCCTGCTGGCCCAGGGAGGTAGCACCCCGCTCGCCCACAGCAGCACCCGGCTGCTGTTCGGCACCTGGAGCTAGCAGGAAGCTGCTTGTATGTCTCCCTTTAGCCAGTGGCTCAGCCAGAAGCACATAGTGACTCTGCTGAGCTAGCCGCGTCCTCTTCTTGGATGCCATGAGGAACACTTGGCTGAACTGTGCTCTTCATGTGGCCCCTGTGGCACTGTGGTGACCCACACCCTTCTTGGAGGGCTCTGCCTTTCCCAATGGCACAGAGTCTCACCAGGCTTTTCCAGGCATGGGACCTGGTGTCACTCCAGGTAGGATTCTCACTTACCGGAAACAGTAGTTGGTATCCAGGGCTCGTTTCTTTCTCTGGCCTCCCAACGCTGGGCTCTCCAGTCGATGTGGGGGCAACATCATCAAGATGAGGTGGGGATTATGCAAATCCTTCTGCTTCTTCAGGCGCCCCAAGTCCCCACGGCCATAGTCATCCTCACTGTCAATGCCTTCAGAGAAAAACAGGATCCACAAAGAAGAAATCAGTGTGGAAGTAGAGGAAGCAACAAGACGTCTCAGTGCATTTAATACTCTCATGCCTGCCCTTGAACCAAGGTGAAGGATTCAGGCACCATGTCCACTTACTCTGGGACTTCTTCCCTCACAGGGACCCCTTTACTCCTGGTGAATCTGACTGCTGCGGGCCTGAAATAGAGGCTTACAGGCCACCTGTTTTACCATTTTCAAACTGCTGGTGGGGCCATTAATCCATCCCACTCACTCCTGGCTTCGGTCCCAGGACAGGCAGGAAGATGAATGGTTTAAAGAAGATGTCAGATCATTGGCACTCTGCAGAACAGCCTCAGAAATTAAGCCTGTGGGGGCCAGTGGCTGCAGCCCAGGGCTGCAAGCCAGGAGGTTCCTAGTTCTTAGGCCAGCCAAGCCACTGACTCTCTGGGCCACCTCACACAGGATGCCTGACTTCCTTGTATTTCAGTCACCCTAACTGCAAAGCAGAGCCTCCATGGAAATCTGAGAAGGCATCAAGCTGAACTTCCCAGAGAGACACTGAAATATCAAATCATTCCTCTCTGCAGATACTCATGCAAACCCACCCAGCCTGCACTTACTTTCTTCCATTTCTAACCTCTGTACAAAGTGGATATACCCATATAATCAACATACAATCCCAGAGGTGTATGCTTTAAGACAGATGTCATGCAACATAAAAAGCTCAAATATGCAAAGCAAGACTCGTTTTTTCTTTAGACACTCCAGGCTTTCCCTTCCCCAAAAGCCTCCCCTAACCCAGCTCTTTATCACCTTTGAACTTGATCTCCAAGACCTCGTGTAAATTCTCCAAGATGTCCCCGTTGGGCTGAAAAGTATGGCAAGGACAGTGTATGCTAATTTCCAAGCCAAGGTTGGACTCTGCAAAGAAGATGACTTTGTGAGAAACAGTCTTCCTCAGCTGGGACAGCTCCCAGTCCAGGGAAGTTTCACTGAGGACATGTACTGTGGTAACTCCTAGACTGTGGGTCGGTCTCAAAGTCAGAGGTGCTATCATCAGAGCTGGGGAACAGAAGCTGCCTTGAAAAGGAGAATGGGAAGCTGAATCTTGCAGCTTCACCTGTGCCAAAAGTCTTGCTCTTGCTAAAAGGAGCTTCCTGGGCAGGTGAGAAGGGTGCTCCTGGTTATGTTTTTTAGGCTATTCAGCATCCAAAAGCATTTGTGAGCTTCAAGGAGCTCCATTGGAAAACAAGTGTTTTGAAGAGCTGGCTTGCAGTGTCTGTGTTAGATCAGTTTTGCCATTTTCAGTACCTGTCTACTATCTCGCTTCTGGTTAATGTCTAAAGGAGAGATCTGAAAAGGAGTGAGTTGGATATGGACAAGTAATTTCACTGGAAGCATTTTTCTCAGCAGCTGCAACCTCCTGTTTTGTTGAACTGCTAGCAGTCTAAGTCACACAGACTTTCCAGAGGCAAGTCTATTTTCATAATAACTTCCTGGATCAGTCATGCTGTGTGGGCCTGACTAAGGGAACATAAGACTCTTATGAAAGCTCCTTTTTTATGTTGTGTCATGAATTAAAACATCTGGCTCCCTGGGGCACTGACAGGGTGCCTAGCACCTTTTCTCCTAAGCACTGTATATTATGTGATGTGATGTCAGCCAGTGTGCCTGCCCAAAGCTCGCTGCAGTTCCACCCCTGAAATCCAGCCATCAGGACACTACTTATATTGCTCGAAAAGGGAGGAGCCTACAAGCTCACAGCTTACTCTTCCAGGGAGCAGCTCCTTGCCAGTACCTGCATTCCAGTTTTCAGTGGCACCTAGCTTCTATCTGTGAAGCCAATCCAGCTGTGAGTCATGGTGCCTATGCTCCAGCTGTGAATGGGGTCAGTGTTCTTGCTGGGAGCTGCCCCATAACTATCTGTTGGGCTGACCAGTGGTGGCAGAGGTATGTTCTCTGCAGTGCTAAAGCCTCCATCTGTCTAGGTGTGTCAGCCTCTGGTATTTCCTCACCTTTATACCTGCCAAGCTGTAAACAGCTAAAGAAACCAGGATCCTTGCTGTTTTTTCCCTACTAGATTTGCTCTAGTCCACATGACAATTTCTACCAGAGCAATCCTCATTTTCTATGTATTACAGATTATAGTTTAGACAAGCAGAGGGGTCCGCTCTGGGCTTAGATTCGAAGAACCAAAAGAATTTCCAGCATCTCTCAGTGAAAAAAACTTCCTCCTCCAGAGGACAAATCCTCCTTCTGACTCAGCCCACAGAGCTACACAGTGGGGACTTGAGGACAGAGCTAGGAACCTAGCAAACATGCACTGAGGTAGCTCTCTGGGGGTAGGTTTGTTCTCAGACTGAAAGAAACCGTCCTCTATGTGAGCCAAGCTCCTGCAAAAAGGGGAGCAGAGAGATAGTCCTGTCAACATTGATCCACATTTCTACGGATGCCTTGACACCCGGTCCAGCTAAGACCCCTACCTCTGTGCAGAAGCCACTCACGCACAGTCTCGGTGACATCGAAGGACAGCCACTCAGGGGAGCCCCGTGTCTGCACATTCCTGCCACTGAGGTAGCGCTGCTTTGCTATGTGTTCATCCGGCCGAAGGATCTGCGTCACAAGGAGTGGTAGAGAGAATCAGCCGGTGCCGCGCATAAGGAAGGGACAGCCTTGGGTCGTTTTTCTTTCACAGTTTGATAAAAAACTAATTCAGAAAGTTGGTCACAGCAAGGGAGGCACCAGGAAAACCCTGAGAAGGACATGCTTCACAACCAACCTGAACTGCAGAGATCTACACAAAGCTTATTTCTGTGTCCTAAGCAGCCCACCTCTCTCAATTCACCCTTGTTTCAGGGCACATATCCAGAGGCAGAAGCACACAGCAACTGATCTAATGGGTAGGTGTTTTTTCTGTATACACCCGTGGGATGTGGGTCTGGGTTTCAGAATAGAACCAGCAGTGGGCAATAGAGCAGCATCTTGCCACAGGTCCCTTGCCCTGCAAGCCTCGTGAGTCCTACAATGTGGCATTTTCACTCTTCAACTTTTACTGAAACACACCAGGGCTGATCAGGTTTGGTCTCCCTCTGCTCTGACATCTCTTCCTGCTTCCAGACCAACAGCCACAGCCTGTGCAAGGTGCTCCTTCCTGCAGGACGCCAGGTGCCCTCCACAGAACCTATGGAGAAGCTCTTGGATTGCCTCCTTGTCAGTTGTGTCATCTGGTGGAGAATTGCCCTGACCTTTGAAGCTGAATTCCAGGAAGTCCTCAAGAGCTACTAGTGACAGGGCAATTTTAACTGCACTCTTACTGCAAAGTGGACAGACACTGGCCTGTGGGAATGTGCTGCCTGGATGCTAAACTGTACTATTAGCTAGGTGGTCCAGCCCAGCCTAAGACCACATCCAAACCAGACCTTATTCTGCCAGGGGAGTCTGTGGGTTCAAACCAAACTCCAGGTAAGCACCTGAATTAATAGTGCCATGAACTGTGCCCCTGAGGAGCTGCTGCTGAAGGGAACATTGAAAGCAAGCATTATTTTTCCAGTATATCAGTGACAAGACAAAGAGCTCCACCCATTGGATTAGTACCAACTGTACTGCAACAGTCAAAGGAACAAATCTGCCAAGGGACCTAGGTGACAGAAGGGCCAGGTCTGCTCCACTGGTGTGGGGGGACTCCCCTTCCAACCCCCTTCTCAGTGCAGCCAAGAGCTGCAGTGGGCACCATTCCAGGGTGCCCAGAGCAGCCAGCCAGTGTGAGTGGGGAAAGGAGACAGCAACAACAGTAAAAGGAAAGAAAAATTACTGTATCACTGCATATGCTGGAAGAAGCCTGGGGTACAGCATGAGATTTCTCCTCTCTCTTTTCTGTGGCCCTGCACATAGCAATTGAGGCAACCATTAAGGAGCCAAGCTATTCTGGGCTCAGGCACGGGGGAGGGTGAGAATACTACTCACCTGGAAGAGCTCAATGCGCTGCTCGCTGCGCTTGGAGCTTGGGTTGGGCACACGCAGCACTCGAAACTCAGCCCGGAACAAGTTGGTGCTGTTCTTCTCTGCCGAGGACACATTAAAGCGGAACACGTTGGAGGTGACACCTTTTGGACAAATGCCCAACTCATCTAAGAGAAAGACAGATGTAAACCACAGGTCAGAGGGGTAGGGGTGGGATCTCAAATAAATGTGGTTCCAGAAAGAGCCTTCCAGCAAAGGCCTGTCATTCAAACATCTTGCCACCTGTGAAGCATGGCTGTCCACCTAAAGGTAACACAGGATGAATCCACTCAATTTTGGTCTACGTTACAATATTTTGCAAAATCTTCCCACTACTGCCACCGTTATTTCAAGCTACAAGACAGAGAATGAGTAGACATCAACCACAGTATTTTTAATATTATCTCTTCTAAGCCTGCTCATCAAATGTTGCTAATGCTCATGAGTCTGCTGCATCAAAAATTACAACCCCAGTCAAGGCAATGGGGCAACCTCATCTGCAGCTAGAGGGACCCATTCCCAATAGCGATGATGGTGTGACTCTGCTCATGCTGGAGACATGAAGCCACATAGGAGGTGATCCCATTGCCACTGAATCTTAGTTTTACAAACCTTGACGTTGTCTCCTAGAATGAAAGCCAGCCAAGTGAGCACAAAGCATGAGGTGTGGAAGGCTCTTTTGGACAGTGACTATTCAGTGTATACTGAAAGAACTGGGTTTTAAGATCAGTTCTCACTCATGACCTGGAGAAGGAATTAATGAATAGTACTAGATACAGAGTTTTTCAAGAACAGAGTAACAGTGCTAAGAGGCCTGCAGAGATCAGACACATGGGCAGGAAATAACACAGCAATTCTCTGCCTCAATATATGCCTGCTGAGCAGAAAAATCCATTTCATGGATGCCCCAAAAGAGAGTAGGTAAAAGCTATGAAGTCCAAAAGAGAGTCCTCAAGAGAAAACAAGCCTCTCTTCATTGGGCTCATTTTGGTCCCGTGGAAAAGTCTTTGTCATCACTACTGTTCAACTCCTACTGACCTGTTAGCCTTCAAAGCTCTAGCATCATTAAGGCTTCCTGCAGACAAGACACCACAGCTCCTGCTCTATGCCCACATGTGGGTTTTTTTGCAGCCCTACAGACCCTCTCACATGACCTCTGACTGTTGTCCAATGCAACACTGGGCTCTCACATCAGCTGATATTTAAGCTGGTTTTAGACAAACAAACAAACAAACAAAAAAGGAAACAGAAAGAAAAACTATCACCGGTTCCCAGCCACAGTTCCAGACTGTGACAAATAGGCTACAAGACCTCCTTAAAGCAACCTTCAAGTCAGATTCATGGAGTCAGCCCCTCTATTCACACCACCACCAGTCTCCCCAGGGAAACAGCTTCTGAAGATGGGCTAGTGTGAAGCAGCGCCTGAGCGCAGAGTTTCAGCTCCCATGCCAAATTCTGCTTTAAGCAACACCGATGCACTTCCAGATTCATCTCCATGAAGATCAAAGTCTTCCTCTTGTGCTACACTCAGATTCAGCAAGCAGGAGCCTGCCAGTTTACAAGGATGTGTTCTTAGGGTGCTGAAGTTCTACTCAAGAACCTAATGACTGGATGCTTACATTGGCTTTTAATTGGAGGGGGGTTTGTCATCTGTACTACTGAATGGAACAGCTTTCTCATAGAGGAAATTCTCTCTCTTGCTAATGAACAGATGGGATGTTCAGTTAATTCCAGGAGACCAGATCCCCATTGCAGCCATGAGCTGGTATACTCAGCCCAAAAACCCTGCAGTGCAAAGAGTACACTGAGCCACATGAGGACACCCACTGTGGGTACTCCTCCACTGTGACCAGTTCTAGGTTTTATGCCACAGAAAAGCACAGCAGAAAACCCGAGCTCCAAAATCATTAAATGCCCAGAGGCATCTTCCTAGCTGAAGTTTACCACTGCTAACTGTTGTGTGTCCTAGACCCAGTCAGATACTGTGTTTGAATACCCCCTTAAGCTGTTTTGCACTCTTAGCCCTATTAATAGTGCTGTTAACAGCCTGACCTTCCAGACCCGACTGCCTGTTCACGAGGGGTGTCCCACTAATCATCAGAAATGCCTTCCTAGATCAGACCAGCGGTCAGTCTAGCCCAGCATCTGTTTCTAACAGTACTGCTTTATCTGAGAATCTATTTAGAGACTGAAGATCTGGTCCTACAGCAGGGTGCAGATGAGAGACAAAATAATTTATTGTTTATCATCTCCTTAAGATCTTGGCTAAATTAGGCAGCCGTGGTGGTAAGAGATTACTGTATCTACTGTATTCTGCCCGCTGTCCCTACACTACCTTCTACCTAATTACTTCAACAGCAAGGTGCTGGTGTCTTGGGAGACCTTCTTAGTGGCAACAGTAATATCTATTTTCCCTAAAAAGAAGTTTTGTGTTCCCTTCGTACCCTGGGAACGAGTCCTCCGTGATGGGGAGATGGAGCTGCATTCTGTGTTCCACTGTGAGGCTGGAGCCTGCTTCTCACAGCAGGGTGTCCAGGATACAGGTCTCACTCTCAGGAAGCCGACTGCTTTGCAGCAAACTAGTTTTTGCAAGAGGTCACAGGCAAAGGAGGTGAGGTGATTTTTCAGGGAACTAGGTCCAGTCCTAGCTTAGGTGTGTTAATCACACTGGAATCCAGATGTGTCCACCTACCAGCATGGAACAAAGCCTGAAGGCAATATTCCTGCAAGCTCTTCCAGTCCACAACACTTGGCAGCTGTAACCAAGGCTGGAGACAGGGAATCTGTGGCACCTTGTGCACCATGCCAGTCTATGTCTGACATGACAGGATGCGTCCTCACGATCGACCCTGCTGTTACTGTGGAGCCCAGACCGCCCAGAGCTGTTGACTGCACAAACAGTGAGACCAGTAGCCTCTTAGCATGGACAATGTGATACAGAGAGCAGGTTCTTTCGGGAGCTACAACTGCTCTCAGCAAGGTGCAGGTTCTCCAGATGCTGCCAATCCTACGATTCTGGCAAGCCCCAAGAAGGCAGATGGCTGTGTGGATAGAGTTTGATATCAAGGAAGGGCAGGCTCTGTGAGCAGGTATTGCCTCACTCCATAATATCCCACTGGTACGTCAAGGTGTTTCATGTCAAAGCTGCATAACTTTGGAAAAAAATTAATCCTTTTGGAACTCTGCAGGCAACAGGTTTGGAAGGAAGAGATGCTTTGCCCCAGCAACTCATGGCTTTAATTGCCTTGTCTCTCAAGCTGGCTTGGAAAATGGCATCTGTTTTTCCTCAGGAAGGTAATCAAAGCCATTCGCTGGACCACTGCAGATACTCCCTGAGCTTGAATCTAACCAAGTCAGCCCTTAAGGGGGTCTGAACCCCAATGAGTTTTAGGATATCCCTGAAGTGAATGGCTGGTCAAGAGAGAGTTATTCTCTGAAGTAAAGTCCCTTGTAATTTAGGCAATGTCCCTGATAGGCACAGCAGAAAGACATCGAACAGCTCAGAGTATGGATGGGGAACCTGGTCCTGAACATCCTTCCTTCCTAGAAGGATGGGCCTCTCCCTGCTGCTATTTTTGTTCCTCAGCTCTCCTCACTTTTGGCCCTTAAGTCTTTGAGAAGGATAAGTTCTCCAAGCCAGTGAGCTACTTGACTAATAGTTTGGAGCTAGAACAGTGTGCGTCCGTGTGAGTGTGTTTGCACACACATTTCAGACTTGTATCATCCATGCAGTTCCCTCAATGAAGCAGTCCTCCCCTTCCCCCCCGGAGGAGACTGGCTTTGGCTCAGAGCATGCTCTGAGATCACCACCTGGCACAGTGACAGAGTCATGGGAAAGTTGAACATCAGCCACTTCTGAAGACACGGGGCCAAATTCAGCCATGGTGTAAGCGATGAAACTGCACAGGTTTCAAAAGGAGCGTGTCTCTTGACACCACAGGCAAAGTCTGGAGCTAGTCTCCCCCAGTGTGACCCAATTCCAAAGTTTCCTCTGGGTGGTGGCATCTACACTGCTCACTCCCAGGAATTCAATCTCAGCACTACTTGGTCTTTTGAACCCGGTGCTCAGCACCATGCCCCAGTGTTCTACAGGGACATGGGTCAGGTTCATTCATTTCCATGGGAATTTTCCCCAACCCACCATCCCTCCTTACTGCTCCTTCTCATGCACCACGTCTTCATTCCTCTATCCCCTCTACTTTATCCAAATCCACTCCTCTGACTTCATTTCCCACTGTTGTGCTTTCTGAATTTCCTTCCCCAAAACACACCAGTATGTAGTGTGGCTGTGTTATTTTGCACAGACACTTGGTTTCCTTATATATTTTTAGAATTTCACAAGTGACACTTCAGTAGGTCAAAAATACTGAAATACGGGTAAGCTGCTATATACCCTGTGCACTTTCTGTTCCTCGAGTCTTGGCGTCTCCTGAGCTAGGAGCTAATCATATAACCATATGGAGTGCAGTCTGCTAGAGATTAAATGAAATTTGTTTCATTACCACATTGTAGCTCTTATTCCAGCTCATCGTATGTCAAGATTAACATAAACCTGGCAAAGCAACTGCATTCCGAGGCTGCCTGCACAAAGTCACAGCTCCTCCCCAGAACTGCTAGTGTTCAACTTGTGTCCCCAAGACTGCGCTCTATCACAAGAGGACACCCTGGATGGGGGCATCACTGCATGCCCACAAACACCTCCCAGTCTTACAGCATCCTAAGCACAGACCGAAAGGACTGCTTGTGCCTACATGTGCTCGGCATCTGCACGCTGCTTGGGGTTCTTGTCTGCTCACTCTTGTCTTCGCATCTGCATCTGCTCAGCTTCTGCACCTGAATCTGTTTAGTGTCCACATCTGGGCCTGTTCATCATCTGCTCCGCACCTGCTCAACATCTGCCACGTTTCCTCAGTGTCTGTGTTCCCTCGGGGGTCCCTTTCACATCACTGTCTGCTTTGCACCTGCTCGGCATCCCTGTTATCTTCTACTCGCTCTCTGATCCCTCACCCTATCCCAGTTACACCCTCGACAGTGTCCTCCAGCCGGCAGTCTCTTCAGCAAGCGCCTCTCCACCTTCTCTACAGCCAGTGCGGGTGCTGCACAGAGCACGGCGGTTGCCTGTGTCTCT